GAAAATATAACTTAAAGTGTAATAACGAGTTTTACTTTCTTGGTTACAATTATGTTTCTTAACATTTTTAATGTTAAGATTACACATTGTGAACACTAAAAACCTTTTTCTTGCATATCATGAGTTCTGTCAATACTGTAATGAAAGAAGCCAAAGAGGAATGTCATTTAACCGGCCTGCTCATGATGTATTCTGTGAGTCGCTCGTCCAGATTCTATTTTGAATCCTCCATAGCAGCTATATCAGATCTTCTCAATAGAGATGCTCGTAAGAAGCTTCTAAAGTAGAGATTAAAAAATTCCACTAAAGTTAAGCTCGAATTGTTGCAGCAGTAATTGTTAAAATTCTTCATGTGAATTAATTAAAATTTGCATTTGAAACTCGGTATATTAGTCCTTCAGAGTGCAAAATGTATGTTGATCTTTAATCATTTTCTCGTAGTAATCTTCTTCCTCTTCCAATAGTATTGTATATCATTCTATGATATTTTTCTAAAACATAGATCTCATATTAAATACAGGAATACATGAAAAAAAATGTACTTAGCTTGCTTACTATTAATTTCTTTCAAGTGCCTTCTGGCCTGTTCTGAGGTTCAGAAGATTGGAGAATACCGAATGAAGAGAACTTGCCATCTGAAACGTTAATAATTAATTTATAATAAGTAAAATTATAACTTTCTTTTATACTGGTGAATTTTTAATTACTTTAATGGGAAGATTTTTATGCACGTTGAAAAATCCCCCAATGGAAACTCCAAGAGATCTTTTTCCAAATCTCTTCATGAAATTCAAAATCTAATTAAAAAAAATAACAGAATTTGTTTTTTTAAAAAATTTAATACAATCTAAGATCTAAAAATTTAAATAAAACTTACTTTTAATTTTTCTTCCAATTGAAAATTGCAATCCGCAAATCTTCGAATATCTTGAAACGAATTCTGCATCTGGAATAAATAAAAATGAATGAAAAATAAAATAAATTTTTTCTTATTAAAGTTAGAAAATATGTATTTACTGTAGAAGTAAATTTTGATGCCAGGAAACTAGTAAATACACATCCTCCTCCCAAGACAATAGAGCAAACAAAATTGAAAACTTTTACTTGTAAAGCCATTCCAGTGTACAGGAATATATAAAAGCTAAGACAAGTAGATAAAATGAGAGTAAAGTACGAAATCGCAATAAACGTATCGTAAATTTCATTTAAATGATGAACAAAATCCCATAGATCTGCATGCTGCTGGATTATTTCTTCCAATTTATTTCTAAGATTTCTATTGGATTTTTTCAAAGCATACAAATTTTTAGAAATTCTCTGAAATCCTCTTTGTACTATAAAAGATAACGATACAATCAGAAAGACAAAGTGAGTTAGTCCTTCGATTATATATATATGTATAAATCCTTTATAAATGTAGCAGAATATGCCTTCATACTTAAAATATTTACCATGAATTAAACCATAATTTAAGAAAAAAAGTATTATCTGAACCCAAATTAATAGAATGACAGAAACAATTGTACCAAATAACCATACGAATTTAATTATCTTGAACTCTTTTGCTCTGTCTGTATCATGAAATTGTATTCTCAAGTAAGGAGAAATCTGGATACGTCTTAACAGACTATAACCCGCTACAAAATTAAAGATTATCAAACACTGCTCGATTTGTACGAAAGTAGAATGTATTCCAGGTTTTTCATCTCTGATTGAACAAGGAATGTAATTTCGAAAGTAAGGAAATGAATTTGTAAGCATGAAAATAAAGAATAACCACAAAGCTGCATCTATCATCATGAAATATATATTTTTGAATATCCTTAGTGTATACGAAGAATGATGCGATTCATTACAGTGGCAAGAAGAAAAAGCTTCAATGCCAAAGATTACAGCAGGGGACAAGAATGGCTTCAAGAAACATCTCAAACATAATTCTGAAGTCAAGCCCCTATACATACTTTGAAAAAAGATTAGTGTATGTATGGAATAAGACAACGAAAAAACATGGACAATCTGACAAAGAAATTTTTTCTATGGGCAGCTGGATCCTATATGGGAACCTAGAAAACCCTACGCTAGCTTGTTGATGAGGTGCAAAACTGCAACCAACTGTCAGTGTCAAGTAGTTTTATCCACTCAGTGAATGAAGTAACAAGTAAGGAGAAAGTTAGCAATGTATCAATTATAACGCAAATGAGCCTATTTGTTTCTTGTATTAGAAACAATATAGGATAATGTGATTGGATTGCGCAATCAGTAATTGCTTGGAGTCTTTCATGCGGAACTAACGCGTGATTAATAAGATATAGAACAAGAATGTTCAGTTATAATGAAAATTTTTAAAGAATTTTATATGCGTTAAACTCCTTAGGCAAGGTTATATAAGGCAATATAGAAATTATGTTTAGCAGCTTAATGCAATGTATTAATTGATTATCGGTGTAAAGAGAATAATTTAATCTACGTGTAATTAGTGTAATTGCTTCGTGTCTTTCATGCGGAACTAACGCGTGATTAATAAGATATAGAACAAGAATGTTTAGTTATAATGAAAATTTTTAAAGAATTTTATGTGCGTTAAACTCCTTAGGCAAGGTTATATAAGGCAATATAGAAATTATGTTTAGCAACTTAATACAATATATTAATTGATTATCGGTGTAAGGAGAAAAATTTCATCTACGTGTAATTAGTTAATTTTGCTCTTAGCATTCCAGTATTAGGTTTATCATATATTTTTAAGAGTAAATTTTATGACTCATAAAGTTTTACGGTAAAAATTACATGTAAAATATGTGAAAATTTTTAAAGTTATGAACAATTATCCATAGAATAGATAATTCTTCATTGTAAAGTGTTAGTTTCAGTTTATTTACAGAACATTTTACTTTTATTATATAAATATAAATATAAAGAATATACGGATTAGTTACGGAAAAGTTATCATCTCATAAAATTTTAATGTCTATTATTAATTAATCTTTATTATTATATATTTTATTATCATATATTCATTATCATATAAGCTAAACGATTATTACAGGGAACTCCGTGTGCGAAAGTTGTTTTCTAATTTTTATGTAATCATTCAAGAATAAAGAAATGTATTAATTTTTGTCTGGAAACAAGTCGTATCGTTATAATGGTAGTGCATCTCTAAGAAAAACGTTCATAAAAGATGTAAAGAATTTGGAAAACATACAGAATAAAGAACCAGTAGATTCAGAAGCAGTTCAGAAAATGTTGGCAATTAAAGAGAAACATAAGATTTCTAAGTCATGGACATAGACTTTACCCCAATAAGATCAATACGAATTCCAACTCAACCTTTAAATATATAAAAACAGAACAATTGCTATTTACTTGGCAGGAGACTGAATCTACAAGACTGATTGCTAGATATAATTCATCACTCAAGAAGATAACCCATTAGTAAGCTTAATCCTAGAGTAGATTTTAGTGTAATCATTCATTTAAATTATAAAATATTGGTATATTCCCTTTAAGAACAGTATTACTTCTCTGTCTCATGTAAGTGTCTTATTTAATTAAGTCTGGGGGGTCGGAAATCGTAATAAAAATTTTAAATTTTTTAAAAAATTTTTAAAAATATACGGCCAACTAGTATTCACCCTACTATAAACCCATCGCCTCCCGAGACTTCTATGAGAATGTCCCGAGAAATCCGACTCCAGCTGTTCTCAAGGTCATCCAGCTGTGTAAACAATGACTCATCAGTGTCAAATTTCACAGAAAAGGGGACAAAGGAAAATAAAATTTGAAGCTTTTTCTTCAAAATTAACGCATTTCTTTTGTTTTTTTCCAGTTTTAAGCATTTTAATGCTTAATTACATTAAATTAATTAATCGGTGAGCGGCAAGTTGTTAAACTTATATATAATAAAATATATTAATTAAAAAATTAAAAAAATTATCGGCGGTCGTTTTTGACATCAGAAAGTAGCTTTAAATAACTTTACCAAATTCAAATCCGTTCACTACAACTTTAGAACGATTAATTAACTCTGATTTAAAAAAATCCCATTAAAAAACAATTAAGCCTTAATCGAGCCTTATCAAAGGCTAATTAAAATCGCGATAAAATGTTTTTGCGCGAGCAAAAATTTTTGAAAAAATTTGGAGACAAAAAACATTCCAAAAATCAAACAAATTGGGGGGCCGAAAGGACCGCATTTTTTGTAACGCTATGTAACGTACCCGAGTTAACTCGGAATTGGACGTTAAGGTGAAACTGTTTCCACTTAACGTCCAGTCCAGTACAAAGTTGTAATTATAAACCCATTCAAGACTAAGTAGAATGTTTTATGAGGATCGATTTTGGCAGCACCTCTTGAATGCATATACCATTGGTATGTACTGATAATCAGTTCTCTTTATTCCGAAACCTTTATTGTTAATTATAGACTATTAAAATTAAATAATAAAAATGACAAGTCTTTTCTTGCAGTATAAAGAAAAAGGATAAACCCGATGATTGCGGCATAATTTTTTGTTCTTAACTCTTTATATTTTAATTAATATAATTCGATTTAACTTTGTCTTAAATTGTGAAACTCTCACAACGTGACAAACAATACTTGTGAAATAATCTTTCCTGTAAGTATAAACATTACAATTGTATTGCTATATAGAGATTTAGATTTTCAATTAAAATTCAGTTTCGAATTTTTTCTGTATTATGCAAAAGTCTAGCAAATATATTATTGTAATTATACAATTGAAAGTATTTATTAGCTTTTAATAAAAATCAATAAATATTTTTATGTAATGCTATTAAAAATGTGACATTATTGTACAAAATTTACATATAAACTGAACTATTGTGTTACAATTACCTAACAATATAACTTTAGTAACGAATAACTATTAAAATAAAATTAATAAAATTTGATCTTATTACAAATATCATATGTATATATAATGTTTAACTTGAAGTATTCATAAATCTCTCGTGTAATAATTAAGAAATGTGCAGGTGTAACTTCCAATCAGTGAGACGAAGATCACAATTTTGATCAATATCTCAATTGTTTTCGAATTTAATCTAAGGCTATTCGTTAGAAAAAATAACTAATTTGATTTTTATCATGCTCTTAAATTCAGGTAAGTCCTAATTTACTTTTTATGTCAAGAATTGGATTCTTACTAACACAAGTAATAACTCACTGTTCTTGTACTACTTCATAAACTATAATAAATACTAAGTTATTCGAATATATACAAAGTACTTATAAATGTTAAATAATATTATTTACAGACCAGAAACTGTAACTTTAGAAATAATGTCACTATCACAATTCTTTACTGACATGCAGAAAGATGGACTATGTAAGAATGTGTCTTTACAAGAACTGGCCACAGAACATCAATTGTTAAATGGTACAACTCCCACGTTGATATTTGATTGTTTAAATCTCGATAAGGTGAAATACTTACTTATGGATTTATCGTATACGTGGAATTACGACACACTTGTAAAACGAATGAAAGATTTCGTAAACCAACTTCGAGAGACAAGTATCGAACCAACATTTTATTTTAAGGGAAATTTACAAACTTCTTTAAAAGGATTCAGTAAGAATAAAGAGTATGACGACGAGCAGACTGTTCTGGATAAATTAAAATCATTCAGAAATAAATTAGAACGGAAACCACAAATTTATGCTGATAGGACAATCAGCAAACACTATTTGTATTTCAGTTACATTTTGAAATATGAATGTCGATGTCAAGTAATTAAACTACTAACTGAAAATATGGTTATAAAACTAGCCAAAATGGCAAAAGACGATGAAAGATGTTTGGGAATTTTTACAGTGAATTCAAGATATTTAATTTATGATACAAAACCTATTTTTAATCTCGCAGTTTCGGAATTTAATTCAATGATTACAGAAATGTATGACCCAAAGGATTTTATGAGAAAACTAGGTTTAAATAGATCACAATTATTTTTGTTAAACTGTTTACAAACGACAAAATCTGAAAATAAATTATCAAATGTGGCAAACGAGGAAATATCTGATCTTGAAAATACGAGAAAACTCATAAAAGAAAACAATTGGGATTGGTGTGAAAGAGATATAAACGATATATCAAAAATCACTGGAATAAACAAAAATTTGCTACGTGAAAGAATGCAGAATTGTGGTACTTCGTTTACCCAAGATGATGATGATGATGATGATACACGTGGTCATAAGTTTTCTCAATTATTGAATTTAATCAAAGAAAAGTATTGTGTGTGTGAAATTCCCCAGAAAATGTATTTTCTCATAAAAGAAAAAAAATACGTCGAACCTATTAATTTAGCAGATTTTGTAGACGAGTCGTTACCATTTTCCACAGTCTTGTACAGAAGGATGAGACGAAAAATGTATGGCCTTATTTTTAACGAAGAACACGTTAATGTAGATGTATTCTGGTGTTATTCTAAAGTCGACATTTTTTGCAATATTTCGGAATCATCTTATTACATTAAGTACAATGGTAAGTTCTTTTATGTTCTATGGGATATTGTGTTTACTATTTTACGTTTTATTATATTATATAGGTGATATTCCACCTTTAGAACAACTTTTATCAGAAGAAGAAAGTTTGATGCCAATTCGATGGAAATTGTTTGAGTACTGTTTGGAAACAGACATCGCTGCTGATAGTACTGAAAATGTGAAACCGCATTTACTTAGTTTCTGTTGCCTTGTAAATTACATGTTAAAACATGGAGTTGTGCTGGATAAATCTGAATTGGATGCACTGATTTTTCAGGCTATTCTCGTTTCCAACAACAGTGATTCGTATAAAGATAATGTATGCGATATATTAGTATTTTTTATTTTAATTAAACCTTATAAGAAATAAAAAAAAAATTAAAATTTTAGGTGGAGTTGATTCCGAGATATGTCCATTTAAGCAGATTGTACGAGAAAGGGATGTCTTATTTGATGCTCGTGTCAGCTGTTTGTGGATTTCCAATTTCGTTGGAGCACTTCTTGCATTGGAAGACTTTTAATATCAACGTTTTTATCAATGTATATAACGAATTACTTTTAGGGATGGAGGAAGACGTGTTTTGTAGCCAGAACGTAAGTCAAATTGTATTTCTAAGAATATTTTTTAGTAATATCATTTTTATATTTCTTTTTGATTTCTAGAATATTGATAAATCGTGTGTTGAGGAGATGCGCTGCCTATGCTTAAAAAATGTTGAACGTCCTAACTGGTGTACTAAGCATAGATTATTTTAATACCAACCTCGAAACGAAGATTTATTCTATCTGAATGTCAAAAAAGTGTTTTAATTATCATCTACTCTACTGAGACTTGTAATTTTTACAATTTATCGATACATACATTAAATTTTTAAAAAAGTTCTCTTCTGTTATTTTGCAATTTTTAATATTTTCACATCATTTTCTTGCAGTATGGGGAGAACGAGTTTTTTACGAGTTTGTGTTTTCATATTTTTCTGTATTGAAATATACAATCAAACCTCGCTACAGCCTCCTTGTATATAGCTGAACTCTCGTTAAACTCCAACGGATACGCATGAAACAATCTATTCTATAAACACTGTGAAGGTAAACTATAAAGATCTGTAGCGTACCATTCTAGCGAATCAAAAATAAATCAGGCGGGGCACTCCTGGAATGTTCAAGTATGGATTGTTCAAAGTACTGGGGCCCTATCCACACAGATGAAAACTATTTCCGACTGTACAATAATTCTAATTAAATAGACTTTCTCAGTGTCACCAAGCAGAAAAACATAAAACTTACAGAAACACTATGTTAATAAACTGGTATATGCAATAACGTAATACTTTTATATACATGAATAAAAATTGCTATTAAGAAAATTTGACATTTACAAACTGTCTCTTTTTATTACGAGTCATCAAAAAAGTATATTATAGATTTATAATACAGTAGAGCGTCGATTTTCCGAATCAATTGGGGACTGGGGTTGTCTGGATAACTGATATTTCGGATAACTGACTTACGTACGAAAAAATAGTTTAATGTATCCGATTTCGAAATTTTTCTCCATTGCGTGTCGCTTCGCGTTGAATTTTCGTCGATGTTAAGCTAACGAAGACTATTGTAATCGTTAAAAATTATTTTTTTATTTTGTACAAACAAAATAAATATATTGAAAAATATAAAAACAATAAAAAATTATACTTCAGATGTTGATTTAGTATCAAAACCGTAAAATATTTGAGTAGCCCAAGACATAGCCAAAGATTGAAGCGCTGGCGAAAATTTAAATTTGCCGACTGGAATTGTTTCAGATGATTGACGTTTCGGTTGATTGACTTTCGGAAAATCGACGCTTTACTGTATATGCACTAGGTAACAAATATGCTGTTATATACTAAAAATTGAAATTTATGACTCCCAAGATTTTACATTTGTGGACATTTTGAGAATATTGGTCCTATTCGGGTGATAAATTCGTAAAAACTGTAAAAACTTCCGGCTGCCAACAAATTGTCCAGAAATCCAGAATTACCAGAAAATCGTTCATTTTTGAAACCAGTTAATTAAAAAAAAAATCGAACGAAAAGAGTAAATATTATCTGAACCTACACAAAAACCCGTTATCTCACTGAGATTTATTAACCGTAACGAATGTTTTCAACCTATTCTACGGGCCTTCTGTTCTCTTTTCACTCTCGAAGCAAACTGTTCCAGGTGGTAAAATAATAGTAGATTAAACATTTTCAATATTTAAAAACGTGGAAAGTACGAGCCGACCAATCTGTTTTTAGATACGTGATTTACACAAAATTTGTTTGTTTCGTCTCCGTTGCTTGAAATTAGAAACCAAAATAAACTTCTCTGTAACTTATGGACATATACGTACAGTACACCTTCATTGTTAGATTGTCACATAACTTTATTGGAAATCGAAGTGCAGTGACATAGCGATCTTCTTTCGGAATTAATTCAGTTCCAAAAATCAGGTTTATGTTAGTGAAACCGGTAGCATTATGAAGATTTCTGTACAAAAACAATTAGTAATAATATGCACTGCTTATGCTCGAAGTTTGTCGACTGAAGTAATTCGATAGGAAGGAAAATCAAGAGTTTCAGAAGCATGTGAGATTTGGACTTTCTCTGCTGGTAAACACGGATTTCAATTTATTTCAAAGTCGTGGCAGAAAACTTGATTATGACAATAAATGGCTTCATAACCTTTCTTACATCATTTATCTTGGATTCTTTATCCATTAATTAAAACCTGTTTGTGTCTATTCCTATATTTGTGTATGCACTCCTGTCTACACATTTGTCTATGATCGTATTGAATTCTATTTGGTTTGAAACCTAATGGTAAGACGACAGCAAATGCGATTGCATATACACCACAGTCGACTCAATTTCGTTGTTGTTGTACTCTCGGAAAGCTCAAAGAAATTTATATTGATAGAATATTCTCATATTGAATCTTCATAGGTTCTATATTCCAACGTCCAGAGTTAATATACGTTCTCTGGCTTGCTTGCTTGATGGCTTGCCTCTACCGAGCCTTTGATATAGCAAAGGATAATTAATTATTTATGTTTTTATCGTATTCATAAAACGTCTGTCTAAGTACAGTAACTAATTCAGTAATGATGAGTGAACTTTTATTAAATGGACAAAAATACATAGATCGGAAATTCTATGAACAAACGAATACTTAATTGAATGCAAAATAAACATGGAAATTTAACTCAAGAATTTAATGTTAAGAGGAATTTCCAGTTTGCCAGAATGATTATTTAAAATTGTATGATTGGCAGGCCTAAATGACGTGTCATACATGAAACACTGAATCTGATTGGCTGTGTGCGACATTATTCTACAATTATTTCTTTATACGTATAAAATGGCCTTTAAAATACAGTACATCATCGATAGATATTTCACGAGAGATTCGTACAAAAAACGATTTGAAAGCGTAAACTGTGTCCATGTTCTAATCTCTTATTTATTTTTAAAAATTATCGTAAATTATAAAAATATATTAAAATTTGAAAATAATAAAAACATGTGTACAGAATACAAAACCGCCTAAATTTCAACTATTTTTTTCTTCACACTACAAGAAAATGATTGTTATATTTTAATATAATGAGGTTTTACAAATTTATTTTGTCAATTATAAAAACAAAGTATTAATAGTACAATATATAAAGACAACACTGTAGCCATTGTAGTGTCTATAGATACAACTTTTAAGTTTTTTTCACTGTTACTTTAAAGGGTGAAATAACTTGAATAAAAATGCTACAAATTCTATTAAAACGAGTAAAAATTTATAACATCAATTTGAAACATTTTAAAAACAGTTAAAAAAAACATTTGTCCAATCTCGTACATTGTTTTCACGTTATTGATTCATCTTCGTCACCACGCGACCTCGGCATCCTAAAATAAAGATTTAAAACATTAATATTATGGATTATTTGAAATTTGTAAAAGTCACAGAAACATCACTTACATAAACAAATAACCTTTGTATTTTAATATTCATTTCTTCATCGCCAGTAAAATGGAGTAAATTTCTTGACTTATTTAATATGTAGAGAGAGAAACTCTGAATGAAATTAAATCTTAGTTTATAAGGATCGCGATAGGCAAATCCAAATTTCACAACGTCATGTAAATGCAATGCTTCTTTGATAATTTTCATGCGAAGTGCATTGTATAAATAATAACGATATTCATCATTCTGTAAAGAAAGAATCCTTCCAGTTAATTATTATATTAATTATAAAAACAGAATTACGATACCTCCAAGTTTCTGTGTAATACGCCAAAAGGAGGAGCATTGTCGTTTAACCAATCCATTGAATCTGACATTAGATCGTTAATGTAAGATACGAGCATAAAGTAATCTTCTCGGGCTCTTACAGGTCTCTGACAAGTTTTAAGAATAGATATTATCTTGTAACATAAATTATACAAATTATTATTATTAGATGGCATCTGGATAAAGACATAACCGTTGCAGCTGAATACGAATAGTTGCAAAGCGCGAAATCGTAGAACCAGAATGTTACTAATAAATTTAATTAAAATAACAATTTAAAAAACACGTGAAGAAAGTTTTAAATAGATAAAAAAAAACGTTAAATTTGATTGTCTTCGGGTAATTGCTTTCAACATTCTTACCAAATGCCATCTGACATTTTCACGCAAAAAAATTATATTTAAATTACTCGTAAATCAGATAAAAAGCTTAACATTGCATATTCGATCACCGGAACTGGATGCAACGAAGATATTTTTTCCTTCATGTACCAACTGTCGTCGTGCCTACCAAATCTTGTAGGCCGGAACCCGTAACTGTACATACGTTCCAGGTAACAGAATTTACAAGTTATCGCAGAGAAGTAAACATTTCTACAATTTCCTGAGCTGTATTTGCATTTATAAGTTTTCCTCAGGATTACGCATCTCAGAAAGAATCTTATACATTTTTTACATCCAAAATTCCCGTAATAGGATGTCCAGTATTGAGAACCGCATACGACGCAACGTGGATTAAAAGAGCAATCTGAAATTAAACAGAAAAAAAAAATAAGAAATTTTATGGTTAATCATAAAATTCTAATTAGTTTATATTTAGAAAATAATTTAAAATGTTCTAAACACTTTAATTACAATGCAAGATACATTTTAATTTGTAAAAAACCCTCACTTCTTGCCAAGCGAAATTCTTTAATTTGCTCTTTAGTAGACATAATGGATGTAAATATGGTTTTTAAAACTTCCTGAAGTGTTTGATTTATCACTAGAACTACTAAAATATTTGCATAAATCTGCGATAATCTTAGCACTTTGCATTGTATTATATTTTGTTAATAATACTTGATTTACTATTACAGAATAAATATATATATGAAGTTTAATTAATGAGGATTGTATTTTAATCAGCAAATATTCGCGAATATTTCATTTTGCAAATTTAAAAAAACAATTTATGAGAATTAATGTAAATTGAAGGACGTTTAACGCACGAGGTGTATAGAGGTAGAGAAAGTTAAAATTAGAATTATTATTGAATGAAAATATTAATAATAATAATAATAATTGAAAAATTATTATAAATGTCTCGTTTATATTAGCATTGTTTAATTGTTTTCCATTAAGCAAATAATGACGCAAACACCAAAGTATTTTCCAAATGGGATTGCATCCCAGGAAAGTAGTTATTAGTGACGTAAAGAAAAGCCAAAAGTATTCATAATTATAGTGTAAAATACACTAGCTTTAAACTCGGCCATTGCAAAGAAGAATTCTTCACAATTTCACAAAATTCCATTGCATTAAAATTCTGAAGTATTGTATAATCTAGTTTTTTGTGTGACTTAACGATAGCATATGTTATTTATTAATAGATCAGTTATAGTTTCGAGAACGCCCTCAAACGTAATTGGCCACAAAAACTAGTTTTCAAAAAAATGTTTAAAAAACTTGTATATTAATTTAAAATAAAGATTTTAGAAAGTGATAAATACCGGTTAGAAAACCAGGCGGACAGAGAAGATCAAAATAGAATATTAATAAAAAAAGAATTAATTAAGCCACGTTTTCTAAAGAGTTATAACTGATTGAGAGGAAAGACGAAGTTCTTGTAGGTCGAAGTTCTGCTTTTGATATTGTTATGTAGACACTAGACAAACCAATGTTTTAGATTTTTTCCTGAAATATATTCCTTAAATAGTAAGCATAACACCAACAGCGAAGGACGTTATTTCCATAAGAATGCTAGGTGCAATTATTACATATTAAATAAGAATCGAAATTCGAAAAGAATAATCTCTAGTAATTCTGAATTTGGTTTAATAGTTATTTAACTATCCGTTTCAGTTATTCAACTGTTTGAGGTTTCGAAATTTACTCATTTCTGAATCTCGTAGACACAAAATATGTCTGAATTGTCTACTGCAGCCTCACGTGTCCACTGCATCATTCTACGGATCGAACTTTTTCGTTCCATGCTACTGTCCACAGTGTCATTCCAAATGTAAATCACAAATGATTTGTTGAACTAATATATTGGGAACATTCTTTCTTAGTATTTTTTATGACAAAACCGTTTGCAGCAGAAAATATACCATGCTTTTGCTGGTATTCAATAGTGGATTAAAACATCTTTCTCGGGTCGTCATTTTCATTATATGTTTCGATTACGGCGCTTAATTTTTCTGTTATTAAACGCATAAAAATAAATCTCATAGTCATATTAATAAAACCAGTTAATTTGCCAATTGCAGAATTAAGCAGAAATCGTGCTCATAATCTTTTTATGTTTTAGTTGTGAATTACCAATTTTCAATATTAATATCATATATCCAACATTGGATATAGGCAACGAACATGACTTTATGAATCCGTTCTGTAGTATAGAATTTGGGATTTCAAGAAACTTTATTATTAGAGAAACGATTCGTTTCTTATTAGTCCTGATATTTTTATATTTAATTACGAAGAAAGGATTTTAAAAAGTTTCGAATGATTCAATTTTACTTGATATGAAGAGATTTGGAAAGGTGCCATTATGTATATCTGCAAGAGGTTACTTTAATGTTACAAAAAGGTTTCCTATTAAGTTATTATTATTATTAATCTTTTAATCTGCAATAGTTTTCATATACTTTTTTAATTTTATATAATTTTTATAGATGGCCAATGTACTTTACGAGTAACGTTCCTCGTCCATTATCATGGAACCAATTGTATCGTTGTACAAATACACTTGTAGTGTTGTAAAGGTCTCTTCTTTTGCAGGTGTCTTTTACGAAAATAAGCCAATAATTTTTATTAAATGCCGAGTGAACACAACCCCTGAACACAATGGGTTGATAACGTGGACTTTTCCAGTTTTTCTTAACGTGTCTTTCTTAACGTGTCTAACAATTAAAAAGAGGTTAATTTTGCATTAATTTAAACGATTATCTAATTCAATTTTCTCGCTAATTAATTAACTATTAGTAATAATTAGAATTATAAATGATATTGTAACCGGTCTAACTGTGTAGGTAGTAATTAGAGACGTTGCGGCCGACGTTTTCATCGCTAAAACGTGTACGTCGGACGTTCAGTGCCGCCTTCCTGTAAGCCTAGAAGTTTGACAATGGCGTTTGAAACGTCAGTGGAATCATGCTCGACGTATCAAACGCCATTGTCAAACTTCTAGGATTACAGCAAGGTGGCGCTGAACGTCCGACGTACACGTTTTTTCGCGATAAAAACGTCGGCCGCAATCTCTCTATTGTAAGAATTTAATGAAGAATCTGTTATTAATTCATTTTGAATTTATTCCATTCTCTAATATAAGTTAAAAATTAAATTTACGTATTAAATTTCTCTAATTATTATTAGGAAAAATAAATCTTTTATAAAATGCATTTTTTAAGTTTAAAATTCGCAGTAGCTACACGCGACACGAATTCAAATTGATTTTGTTTACACAAATTTGCATTAATTCATTTAATCTGTAAATGAAAACTACCATAAATATATATTAATATAAAAATTAATGTGAAGAAATTAATTCCATATTTAATTTTATTTTAATAATAATAATAATTATTATTATCAGCTAATTTTATTACATTGAAAACTATTGTAGATGTATGTAAATATTGATGGACATCGTAATGAAAAAATCAATTATGAGCCTTTAAAACTTAACATTTTATTAAAATTTTTTGGAAATTATTTTTTAGATTCACAATGACTACTAAAGAACAGATTGAGGAATTTCGTTTGGAAAGAAGTAAGGGATTTTGTAATTAATAAACAATCTTTATCTAAAATTTAATTAATTAAATGAAATAACTTTTAATTTCAGGTGTATTTATAAATTCCCTATGCGTTATATGCGGTTTTCAATACACGACATCCTATTATGGGAATTTTGGATGTAAACGATGTTTACGATTCTTTTTAAGAAGTATAACTGAAAGGAAAACATATAAATGTAGAAATAACTCTGGAAATTGCCAAAATGTTTATTTCTCTTCGATAATCTGTAAATTTTGTTACCTAGAACGAATGTACCGTTACGGTTTTATGCCTACAAGGTTCGGTAGACACGATGACAGTTGGTACATGAAAGATAAAATACCGTTACTACGTCCGGTGCCAGCGATGGATCATTTAGAATTACATTTCGAGACCGATTTGGAAGTAATCTACGTATATTTTTCTTAAGTGATAGTTCAAGATGGCATCTTTTACTGCCTGTATATAAGTTATTATTGCTTTAAAAATACCATTAATTTTTTTTTAAAATTCCACCAGAGTTTCCTAAGATGCCAAAGAGATTACATTGAATTTATGACTTATTTCTCCCAGTTAAGAATGGATATGGCTTCTCGATTGAATGAAAATCCTCAAGAACATCTACAATTTAATATAGATATAGAAGTAGGTTAATTGTTTTTATTTTAATAATTTTAAAATTAAACTGAAAATATCTTTTAGGTTCCAGGTTCTGTTAATGAATCAACCATAGCAGCGTACGTAAATGTTATTAGAGAATCATTACATTTACATGACGTTCTTAAACTTGGAATTAAATATCGTGATCCCTATCAATTACGAAACCAATTTGTCCAAGATTTCTCTCTATTTTTACTAAATAAAGTAAGGAATGTAATCGCCATAAATATCTAAAGACGAGTTTTACGTGTAAGTAATTATTGATAAATTTCAGTCTTTAGAAAATTCAATTATGATTATTATTTTCTACCTTTAGGAAGAAGAAGACTATTATGATAATCCATAACTAATTGATAATGCAGATAACTGTTTCGTGCAATAAATTTAAAAGTTAAAGATTGCAAGTTTTTAATGCGGTTTTTTGCAAACTTTTAAATTTTGTATTGAAATTTATTGACGCACACAACTGTAAAGAATTAAATAAAGTTACGTTTTGTATTTGTAAGAATTTTAAACAAGATATTATTTATTAAAAATACTAAAATATTGATCTAAGAAAATAAGAAATAGTTACTATTATGCAATAGTTTTCAAGGAAATTAATAGGCCAGAGCATTCTATATATGCCAAATTCGCTTCATTACGGATTTAATGCAAAAATAATTTCTTCGTGGTAGCTCGAAGTATTTGAAAATATCTTCCACATCTTTATTTTACAAATTGGTTTACTCGATGGAAGTTTTAGACAAAGCTTTTATATACCAAGTCGAATAATAAATACTAAAAATGAGGAGCAATTATTTATTGTATCATCGTCACAATATCGGGCTGCAATTTCTAATCATAGATTTATTTATTTAACTTTAAATATATGCACTTCATCCCGAATTAACAGTGTGTTGCTCCTGTAATAGGAGTACGTCTCCTAACAGAAAGATTAGCAAATTTAAAATTTTGAAATATATAAAGAATTTCGAATGACCTAACGGTTTGGAATAATTTTTTCGAATTTATATAGAAATGAATGCATCTTCTATGTCATATATTTTAATAAACTTTCATTTAGTATTGTCTAGCGCAACGCAGGTGTACGAAATCGGCGGAAATCTTTTCTTAACTACAATTTTCGTTAGTAAGAAAGATGATATTCCTCTTGAAATAATATTAAATGAAACTGATATTTCATTTCACATATGCTTGTACGAAGATCAATCAGTTTTCTCTTCTGCCACGAAGGTATATATCTTCAGAGATAACAAGGTGAAGAAACTTTATATAAGGAACTTACCACAAGCCGCTTTATATATTGGCTACCTTAAATTAAATAGAGCGAATGCCATTGGGTATTTTTATGAAAACCATTTCGTCGGAAGATTTCAAACTTCGCAGAATACCGAATTTACTGAACCAGCATATTTTCACCAACAATTTAAAGGAGAAAACCATACTGTTCTATATGACTTGAAATATGTAATTTATAATTCTAAGTATAATGATGGCAAAGGTTTCTGTGATGAGATTAAACATACACCCAAAAGCAAGAAATATTTTATACAAAATGACGAAGCTCCGTGCAATACAAGTTTCTTTTTTAAAGTGAGGTAAGTTGGAAGTTATATACAATAGTTTCTGTACGAAATTCTTATATTCTTGATCATAAAGTATATAATGGGTTTGATTAAATTTGCATATTTTTAAGAAAAACTTGTATTTGTGGCGTAATAAACACTAGTATTGTGTTTTATTCCAAAGACACATGGCAAATTTTCCATCAAAATCCTTTATTAGTTGATACGGTACATTGTTTTGTACTCGTTTCGGGCTTTGCCCCTCTTCAGTCAACTAAAATACAATATATATATTTAACTTATTACAGTAGAGAGTTTACATAAAATAATGAGTACATGAACGATATATAGACGTACCTTTTAGTTACACTTTGTATAATTTAAAAACGTAAAATCTGCTTTAGTCTTTGTATAACTAGTATATATTATAAATAAATTAAAAAGTTAAAAGTTCTAAAATCTTCTCTTATAAGCATATTTCGATACTACAAACTGTAAAAAATTTTTAACTGTTTCCTCCCCCTCTTTACCTTCCACCCCCTTTTTTATTTTTTCTTATGCGCTGGTGTCTTAAGTGTTGCCATGTATGACGTTCGATAGAAAAAAAGGAAAAANAATTTTATTAGTCATGTTTTTCTGTTTGTGAGGATTATTAGAAACCCATTTTTCTCAATTCATTCTTGTGGAAGGTAAAGAGGGGGAGGAAACAGTTAAAAATTTTTTACAGTTTGTAGTATCGAAATATGCTTATAAGAGAAGATTTTAGAACTTTTAACCTTTTAATTTATTTATAATATATACTAGTTATACAAAGATTAAAGCAGATTTTACGTTTTTAAATTATACAAAGTGTAACCAAAAGGTACGTCTATATATCGTTTATGTACTCATTATTTTATGTAAACTCTCTACTGTAATAAGTTAAATATATATATTGTATTTTAGTTGACTGAAGAGGGGCAAAACCCGAAACGAGTACAAAACAATGTACCGTATCAACTAATAAAGGAATTTGATGGAAAATTTGCCATGTGTCTTTGGAATAAAACACAATACTAGTGTTTATTACGCCACAAATATAAAACAGGACACGGTTTCAAAAAGAAAATCAAAAAACTTGTATACTAATCGTTACTTTCATTAAATATGGTCATAAAATTAAGTATAGATTTGTTTATACCATTATAACAGCGGCCCTCTAGAGTCTAGAGCAGTGTTTCTCAACCTCTAACGAATCGTCGCCCCCTTCAACGTAGTATCGCCCCCTTCAATAAAACTGTTACGCAGTATCGCCCCCTTCACTTCAAAATTCCGATGCCCAGGGCCAAGGCTAACGCCAAATTCGTACTGCATTCAATAGACTAGTGACTAGCATAATGTTATTTGTTCAATTATTGTACGGTATAACGAATAAAATATTTAATTAATCTTAATATAATGTTTTACTATATCGCCCAGAAAATTGTTTTTCGCCCCCCAAAATATAAATTGTTACTAATCGCCCCCTCAACATGGAAAAACGCCCACATGGGGGCGATATCGCCCCCGTTGAGAAACACCGGTCTAGAGTAACGAATCAAAGCAATTAATTTTGTTACTCTAGAGGGCCATAAAGAACCAGGTCGAGACTGACTGGAATTTTCACGTGTTAGTGAAACCCTCCACTTTAACTAAAAATAATGTGGGTGTCCACTCGGAATTCTGCATTATCCGGCGACCGCTGAACGCAGTTTAATAGGTTGGAATGCCATCGAGGATCTTCAGTTGAAATTGAACCAAATACATCGATCTTCCTATTCAACTTTCAGAAAGGGTCTTTGTATAGCGGCTGCCTGCATAATGGATCTTTCATACTGGGTGACTTCTTCCATATAATCTACTATACAATTGCAATGACTATGATACGCGGATTAACAATACAAAATTCTTGATAATATGGTTCACAAGTATTGTATATGATCAAATTGTCGATATAACAACCTATAATAAATTCTTCGAACGAGTAGTTGACCTTATCTTATTATCTGATATTAATAAGTCAATCAATCGGTAATTTAATAAATTTAATTAATTTTAATTTAATACTTCTTAATACATTTTTTGTGTGTTTTCACAGACAAGAAAGAAGTTGTTCATTAGAAATCTTAGTAGATCATACATACTTCGAATATATGGAATTTAGCGTGAATAGAACAGTTGCAGAAGTTCAGTTCTACATAATGTTTGCACAATATGTATTCCTCAACTCGGACATTGATCAGGACGGTAAACCGGATGGCATCGGTTTTAATATAGATAAAATAACCATATTTGGAAGTAATGATGAACCAGGATATCTACTAAACACTGACACGAATAAAGAAATGGAATTTTTGGAACATATATCTCAATATAGACACACGTCTTGCATGTTAATATGTTTCACACGTAGAGACTTTTGGAAAGATTCTGGCTGTTCTAGTGGAAGAGTCAGCAAAATAGGAGGAATTTGCTCCGAGGATGATGATGATGATACTCTAATGCGTAGTAATGTGGGATTTATTACAAATTTAGAAAGAAATGTAACAATACCAAGGTTTAAAGTTGCTGCAAATTTTGTCCATGTGTTGGGCCATGCGTTTGGTTGTAAACATGATCCTATAGATTTAAAAGAATGCAATCCAGGAGAATCGGAAGAATATATCATGCATAAAGATGTTCCTTTTCAAAGCCGAAATAATTGGAAATTTTCAAGTTGTTGTTTAAAATCAATGCAGGAAACAATTAAAATAAAAGGTAATTATATGTATTTGATACTGAAAAATATATAAATATATACAATAAAACTTAAGTTTAAGTATTCAGTCTGTTTACCTAGAAATTGCCAGTAAATGTAGATGGCACTAAAGTACCATATAGAAGACGGGCGACAAATAGCCGAGAGGATCGAAAACAAAACTGAACAATAGCAGTCGCGGGTTCGCGCCTCACCTAATGGTAGTTACATGGAATTTTCTCGGGTTTCTTCATATGTTTAATACTTAAACGTGGACCAATATCACATTGAAAAACACCCGTTTGCTGATCCGCAGTATGTTAAACCGAATACGAATTTTGGCAGTTTCATCCATTCAGCCACTGGTAGAAGGGCTTTTTATAGAGTTTAAAAAACTTAAAACATTTTATTTGTTAGTAAGGTATTAAATATATTTTATAGAATTCCGAAAATTAACGTAAGGTTGCATTTAATCGATTTTTGACTATGTTGCGATGATTATTTTAAAAAGACTTCTATTGTATTTCCCAATATGTCAAGAATAAAATATAGCGATAAATTTTGCTGTAGAACAGCGCCATAAGTTTAATTCACTTAATGTTAAACAATAGAAGAATGTCGTGCAACCTTTAACTAATAGAAGAATTGATTTAACAAGTTATATGCAAGGAGAAAAAGTATGTTTATAAAGTCCAATTATAAAAAGATCCTATAAAACAAATAATGGATTCAAATTAAAAAGTAAATCTCAGCGAAAACATCTAAACAAAGGAAACTTCATAATTGTGGAATAAGAATACTAAAAGCAATGTTTACAGTAAGATTCAATACGTGAATAAACTGCACATGACACAGACTACAACTACAGAACTTTTGGATGAATCAATTTCACTACGATAATAAGTCAGGAAAACAAACATCATCACAGTAAAAGGCTTCGATCTTTGTGCCTTACAGTTCCTTCACTAATATTGCTTAAAAGTATTGCAATGGTCAGCAAAAGTATTGTAGAAACATCAAGTATAAGGAACAAAGATCGAAGTCTTCGATGTCTTTTTCTGTGTGGATGCTTGCTTTCCTAATTTATTATCATGGTGACATTGCTTCATCCAAAGCTTCGGGCAGTTGTAG